GGTTGGTTTTCACGGCTTTCCGTCGAGAAGTTCTTGACAACCAAAAAGCCATCGATTTGTGTCACTTTTCTCAAACACTAAAAATCTGAGGGAAACCAAAAACAAAACAAAAACTCGAGAAAACCAAAAAACACAACTTTTTGGCAAAACCAAAACTTCTCCTCAGAGTTGTGTTTTTGGTCTTGCAAATTGCGCTAAAAAGATTGTGTTTGTTTCAAATAATGAGTAGAACACTGCAACAATTGTTTTGTTTGTTGCTGTCCACGTCCTTCTCATGACACAAAGACGTAAAAACCCCAGTCTCTTTCTTTACATTTCTTTGAGGCACAGCAACAATGGCGGTTCATTGGGGGGGTGACCACTATATGTGTGTATACTATGTATATATATATATATACATATCTATCTAAACATAAATACGCAGAGGGCGAGTATAGGGCAACCAGTGGCCATTTTTTACTTCGTGGCCCGCCTCGGAGATGCCCTCGGTCATCACCTTCAGGGTGCCCCGCCGGTTCGGCGTCTCCTCCCAGAACTCGTGCGCCTCGCGGGTCACGGGAACTCAGCGATGAAACGTTTGTTGGCGTAGGGCGGTCAACGGAAACAATATAGCCGTGGGCCAAAAATATGTTTCCCCAAAATGGCTTGCCTTAAATGGCTTGGCAAGGAGAGCCTGTGGTCCCCTTCTTTCATTTTGACCCATACCCATTTGATTTTGGGACTCCATAGTTCTATTTCCAACTTCCACAGTCAAATCGGTTTAGTCCCTGGGAAACCGCTCAGAAACACCGGGCAGGGGCCTGGTCCCCGTCGCTGTCTCGGTAGAGTGGAGGCTCGTGGCGCTTGGAGGACATGAGCCGCTTCGCCTTGCCCGGCGAGAAGACCAATCCCACAAAGCCATCGCCCGAAAGAAAAAAACGGATCGACCATTTCAAACCCGGTGGGTCGCCGGCCCTTTCTCGCAGGGAATCTTGGAAGGCCTATCGCTAACCCGGGGCAAGCCTCAGTGAACCTGGCTTTTCCCAGCAGTCAACCCTAACTATCCAGCCACATACCCAACAATCAAGGCTTGTAATCTTAACCTTTTGGCGCAACAACTTCACATAGTTGCAAGACTGAGAAACCAAGCGGCCAACTCCCCTTGCTTTTGAGGCAAGCGACTTGCCGTCCCCTTTCTGCCGCCCTCCCACTGACGCCAAGGCACCGCCGCCTCCGCTGCTGCGCGTTTCCGGGCGATCTCCTGCTGCTGCCACTCTGCCTCCATTCGGGCCATCTCCTGCCCAACGATCCCACGGCCAAACCCCCCATAGATGGCTGTGGGTCAAAAATAGGTACCCAAAATGGAACCCTGGCAAATGGAAAAATGGACCAAAATCTGCGGTCCCCTATTGGTTTAAGTTTGACCCACACCCAGATGGCTCCACTTAGGACACACTTTGGACATGCCATATCCAAGTGACTCTGGGTTCCAGGATGGTTATAAGAGTTCGATATTGAGGATCGATCCTCGATCGGCCTGGCAACCCTTCCTTTGGAATGGGCAACCCAAAGAATGCGTGTGACCCAAAAACGAAGGAGACTTTGGGGAGCTGACTCGGCTCGACTTGGGAACTTATTCTGAAATGCACGCATGGGCGTGCGTTGGGTTGCCAACCAAATGCACCCCCAACCGACGAAAACAAAAAATGAGAACCTGAAGCATGTCAAGCAACTAGTGCCGCAAAAGAGTTGCTTTCTGAGGGGAGGGGAGGATTCGACCTCTTGGTTTGCAACTGGTCATAGTGCGAGGTGCGCTTAGAAACCAACACCTCCAATGAAGAACTTTTCTCATTGGTTTCCCTTTAAATAAAAGCGATCAGGGGGAAGCAATTGATCGAACTGGTTTGGTGGTCCTACTTGAGAAAAACAGCCCTGAAAGCGACCCCTGGAAACTCCGGCACCTGCAAATGTAGGCAAACAGCTGGTCACGAATTGGCAAGCCCAACTTGCCAGGCCAACTCAAGGAAATTCTCGCACGGGTTTCTGGGTTGGAAACCCGCAGAAAGCTTCCCCTTCTCCCCTTACCGCCGGACCAACTTGGCGTGTGAGGCCATGCCCCAACCCGAGCCCATGTCCAGCCCACCTCCTGCTCCTCTGGGCTGGGTTCACCTTTCCTTGTCATCTGGATTTAGCGCCCGAGAAGCGCGCTCAGTTTTGCACACCCCAAAATGCCCTAGGTTTGAATTTGATCAAACTCTGAGAAGGTGTTGCGAAAATATCGTGGATGCACAGTTGGGAGCTCTGGATGTGTTGTAGAGATTGCAAAGCACGTGCATGCCCTACAGCAGACAAACACCAGCTACTCCGTAGGCCTCGCAATGATGCTGTTTCTTTCAGGTAAGGACCCTTGTCAGTTCAACTTGAAAGGATACTGGCATGGAACGGTGTCCGGTTGAGTCATAATCAAACCCTGGTATTGAAGGAGCCTGCCCAAAACCGCTTGGCACTATCTCCTGCTGCATCTTCGATTTTAGTTCTTTTGGGATTCAGTGCTGCAGGGTTCAAAGGGCTCGGTCTTTACGCTAGAATGTGTGTAGAAATCTCGAAAAAAGGGTCTCCCAAAAGGAGATTCTAGCATGAAGCTTTGTGGGGGTGAGATTAATGGGCAGGATAACAGGATCCAAAGGCGCAAACAAACATGGTGCCTTGGTGTTGTCGAGCTTCTAGCTTATAAACGGATGAAAGACGTGCGATGTAGCTACTGGTCTTATCTAGTGGGATAGACTCGCCATTGCAAGAAGCCAATACCAGTGTAACACCAGGACATGTGTAGTTGATGTGTATGTAGCCCTGTACAACTCTTACTCCCTTTCTGAAAGCGTTGAGCAGACCGATCGCTGGCAGCTCAGCGACAAAAACTCTCTTCTGGCCCAATTCTGGAAGCGAGGCAGAGGGGTCAGGCCGTCCGCCCATTCCCTCGGATGCTGCCGGGCATCCCGTTGCGCGGCCGTTTCGAAGGCGGGTCGTCCCGCTCGCCCTCCTGCGAGCTCGGCGAAACCGCTGATGAGAAAACCAAGTGGCTTCTCGAGTGACCGACAAATCAGCATGGAACAAATCGCCGTCCTTCGGGGGCGTTCGACTCCGCTCGCGAGCCATCTCAGCGTCTGCTGCCATGGCCTCGGTTCGATGCGGTGGCCCATGTCCCTGTGGCACCTCCAGGCCATGTCCAGCCCTTCACAGAATCTCAGCTGCTTTGGGCAAAGTGACACCCTAAATGCGTCTTTCAATGCCAGTCCCCCCCAAAAAAAATACTGGGGCGGGAGTTCTTTGGGTTCACTTGTGAAGCCCATGGCAAGATGGGCCCAGCCAACTTGGCAACAACCAACGCAGGTTCCAACCGAGCCGGGGTGCTGCTCCCCTCAATGAGCCGCAGGTTCGAGCCGAAAGCCGGGCACAAAGTTCTAGCCTGAAGGCAGCTTCCAATTGGTACACAGCCCTTCTGCTTGTATTGCCTCTGCCAAGAGCAAAGTCAAGGTCTCACATGATACCAGCTTAGCTTTGGTGCAGCCCGACAAAAGCCATTGACAACACACCGGCGCAAGCGGCGTTCCCGGGCAGAGGCACGTCGGGGGGGGGGGGAAGCGGCGCACCCGTCGCGGCCCATCTCCCCCTGCAGCCGCCAGTCGCTGAGCTGGTCAGCCAAGCCTCGGGCTCACCGGGCCTTCAGCCCATGACAACTTTCCCAGATATATGGCTGGGCCAACTGGAGGCAAATGCGGAGGGGGGGGACGTCTGGGAATTCCTCTGTGAGGCCTACCTCATGGCCAAGACTAAGATAAGTGGCAAACAAGGCTTGTGAAGCCTCTTGGCAGAATCAGGACCCTCAGCTTCCATGAAATCCGGCACCCACACCCGCCGATTTGCCTCACCACCCGGCACACTACCCTTGGCCCAATTCCGAAATCGAGCTGAGCCCTCGAACTCCGCAAATTGGCCGGCGGCAGCCGATCTGGCAAGGAGCGCGCAGCAAAATTGGTCGCTGAGTACCCAAGCCGCCTGTGAACCAATTTTGCTCAAGGCCCTCACTCCACCCTGCCCCCTTCAACATCGAATGCTGCCAGCATCTGCCAACGCGAATTGGCCTTTCCAAAGGGCTCTGGAATTGCCCAAGCGCCGTGCACCATCCCTTCCCCAGCCCGGAACATGTGGCCGGCTGGCGGAGGAGCGCCAGAGCGAGCAGCGCCTGCGCCAGCCTGGAGAGCGGCTGAGACGAGAGCATGGACTCCATGTTGAGAGAAGATGGCTCCTTGGCTTCTTTTCCAAGAGAACCTGGCAGATTGGGACTGGGACCTCTTTGGCTTCATTTGCCTCGTCCAGACCGGGCCCCCGCACCGGTGCCATCGCACGCGGCCCATGCGGCCGGCACTTCCCGAGCGTCTGCTCCCGCGGAACTTCTTGGCGCGGCCCGCGAAACTGGTGACTCGCTGTCGGTGTGGAAGCTCTGGCCGCTGAAGAGTCAGCGTGAGGAAAAAATGCGCTTGACACAAATTCAGCTTGCTTGCATGGGCCATAGATGTCCATAGCTGTGTGTGTCGTCCGGCTGTCAGGGCTAAAGGCCCTCGAACGGCGAGCAACTGAAGAATCCGGCGCAACAGATCGAGAAGTCAGGTGTGCATGTGTTGGGTTAGAGCAAGAAGCAGATACGCCGCTTGAAATTCCTTCAAGATTTTGACAGGATGATTAATCCGGGGTCAACATTAAGGCCATCCTTCCACTGCCAAAAGATATCAAAGCTCAACAGCCCTCCAACAACGAAGCTTGCCAAAAGAACAGGGGAGAAAAAAAGAAGAAAAGATAAAAAAGAAAAAAAAAACGTGAAGCAAAATGTGAAGTGTATGTTGTTGTTCGCCATACAGCGGCAAACCAAAGTCGCCTTGCACGTAGCCTTTTGGCAGGTAGCACCCTCAAGGCAGTGCGTTTTGCTTTTTGTGAACTCCCCCCCCTCTCCCCGCTCCCCGCACCCGCTCGGCGCTCATGCCGCAGGCACGGATCAGGCTCACCGCCTGGGAAGAGCGCCCCTGCCCCGCGCCCCTGAGGCGCCCTGGGAGAGAACCGGGCGCTCCGGCTAAGCTGTGGACAACCTCCCCGGCCGCAAAAGGTTCGCTGTTTGGCAAGAGCAGCCAAGATGAACGCATGGCTTCATTCAAACAAATGTCAGGAGGTGATGTCGCACTGCAGGAGAACGTTCCCTACGTTCGAAGCCCGAAGTATTGCAAGGCAACCAGGACTGCCCCCTTCCCAAAACGGATTTGGGTTTTGGCTCCAGCCCGAGATGTTTGTCTATGCCTTGTCGTAGTAGTTCGCGAGCACCTCGCCGGGGATCAGCCGGGAAGGCTCGTTGCATACCGCCAGGCCTGTCACCTCGGGTCTGGCACACGAGTGTCGCGGCGCCTGAAGCAGCGACTGGGAAAAGCTTCCGCACGAGCATAAGCAACTTGCCGACATTGGAACAAAGAACTACAGGTGTCTGAACTGATTGCTCCAAACCACCCAACTGAATTGAGTCCCAAAGACACCACGTCACATGCTACCCATCTTCACCAACCTCGTGCGCATCGCAATCCTTGAGACTCTTGGAAGCTCAGGTACATCGCCGTGGTTCATTCAGACCCTGTTCTTCTGCCTATTTGCTTTGTTTACAGAAACGCCATAGCAGAAGGAATACATGGCTCATGCACATCATAGGCTCTTGGACATTGCAGTGGCTGCACTTGATCATGCAACGCTGGGCCACTGCATTTACTCAACTTGCCCTCATTGGCATTTGCTCACCTGAGCCAACCTGTCTGGCAGCCAGGACTGTGCCAATACACAGCAGGGAGCGTTGATCCGAAGCACCATCTCATTCAAATCAGCTTTCCTAACATCGGCCGCCAAAACGGCCACCGCCGTCGAACCTGTCAGGCACAGTGGAGCAAAGCGAGGGAACGCGGAGCTGACCTTGAAATGACGGGCCCTCTTTGGGGATGCCCTGCAAGCTCGATTTGCCATTGCTCCCACCAAAAACAGCAAGCGGGAGAGGGGAGAGGAGGGGGGGGGCATTGTGCGACGCAAAAGCCCAGAGCCGCCGGACGCGGGATGCGGCTAGGCGCAGCGCGTGCGGCTGGTCGCAGTAGCGCCTCGCCACCACCTGGCACCCGCTCTAGCGGCGAAAGCTATTGGACTCCATTTGCCTTCTGTGCTTTTTCTTGGGTCCAAACATGCATGGGACCTGGGGAAATCCCAACCGAGAACAAACCTCCAAGGGTTGGTTTCACAGGCCAGGGCCAGAGGCCCCACAGGCGGCTTTCACCAACTTGGAGGAGCCTTGGGATGGCGCGTGCGTACCCCCCAGTTGCTTCCCTCAAGCAACGTAACTCCTCCGCGCATTGTTTTCCTCCTATACCGAAGCACTTCAGGAGCCAAGGCAACAGCTTCTAGCACCTCTTGCAAATGTGGTCATTGGAACTCTGCATCCCGCCTCTAACGCGTGGAGCGTCTCCGGTATCCGCCAGGACTTCCAAGTCTGGGCAAAAGCATCAATCCCGTTGCCCAGCTTGAGTCTTGGCCAGGGTCCCTGTCACGACCCGAATCGCGACCCCCCACAAAAAGAAAAAGGAGGCCACCCATCGCCCTCTAAAGGGCAACTGTCTTTTCGAAGCCTGAAGCAACCTTTTCCCGATTGAAGGTGCCTACCTAATGAAGACCGTTGCTTGCGGTAAGCACGTTGGAAATGATTCTCTCAGGTTCTAGAAGTGTCCCCAAAACCGCTTGTGTCTCAGATGTCCTTCTAGCACGCCTGCTTAAAATGACACCACTTCCACTTCCGCCTCCAAGTCTTAGCCAGCTGAATGATCAGGTGTGATACGCCAACCATCACAAGTTCTGCAAATCCAAAGGCGAAAGCCCCTGCCAGCCCCGCATTTCCTGTGTCTCCGGGCCCAGCCCCGGTTTTTGCGGCCGCAGGGCGCGCTGCCGCCTCCGCTGGACTCATGGCTGAGCCCTTTTTGGCACCCGAACCAAAGGTATGGGCTCAACGGCTCACGGTTTTCAGGGGGGTCTTTTCGCCACCTTTTGTGGAGAATTGATCGGCCCCCTCGTAGTGAAGGGTTCCTTTTGGAGGGGGTCCGCAATTTTCTGACAAAAGGTAGCCAAAAGACCCCCCTGCTTTTCCAGCGGCTCATGGCTGAGCCCGTGGGAAGCTTGCAGATTGAAGAACGACACCCCCACCACTGCCACTGTCGAACTACAACCCGGGCTTCCCGGCTCTCACCCCCGGGGCAGCCGTGCAGGTCCAGGAGGACCTCGCCAACAGAACGCCCTCCACTGGAAGCTGGCTGCGAAAATCGGGCAATGAGTAGGCCGCATGCACACCCGTCTTTCAAAGATGCCGACTTCCCCCCTTGGAGCAAGGTTTAGCCTCTGTTTTGACCTTGTTGGAAAATGCAGCAAGATTGGTTGGAGCCTCAAATGCCGTAGAATGTAGACTCCCACCATATATGTATCAACCACACGCAACACACACACACACACACACACACACGCACAACTTGGCTGAAAGCTTGGTTGTTGGAGAGCTAGTTTGCTGGCATCTGCACGGGCAGCCAAATGACTTGGACTGGCCATCCGAAGGTGGGACAAAGTGCCTTCTGGTCCATGTAGGCCACTTTGGACAACAATGACTGGACAAATGCAAAAACCTAAAGGGCCAAAGAGAACAGGCCACTTTGGATGAGAATGACTGGAAAAACAGCAAAAACCTAAAAAGGACCAAAAGAACAAGCAGTCTCAACAAAGGGACGGCTTCGGTCAGAGTGGAGACAGCTCCCGAGACCTGGAAATCGCGGCCTCGAGGCCGAAGTCCTTGGCCCACTGCACCGCGCGGTCCAGCAGCTCCAGCGCCGGCCCCTGGCGAGAAATTGGCCACGAGACTTGGCTCGGCTGGAGAGAAATGGGAATTGAATTCCAATACTTGCAATAGTTGCAATAGTTGGGGGGTCCCAGATTTGGAGCACCGTGCGCCCATCCAGCCCATTCCCAGTCCTTCGACCGATGTTTGGGGACCAGTGCTTGCGGAGAATGGCTCTTTGTTATCAAAGTTTCACCTCGGGGACACGGGACATGGAGTTTCAGGCTGACTGGCCACCAGTCTGATTTAAGTTTCGACCGAACCTCATATTGATTCCCTGTACTCGTGGTTCATCAAGGCACACCCAAATGTTCATTCTAGAATCATCCTTCGGTGGGTAAATCATTGTTATATATATGCCATTCTTTGGAAACAAGCAACGGATGCCATGGAACTCGATTACCCGAATTGAACGTCCAGCAAGATATCGAAAAGAAACTAGCCTTAGCTTTCATTGGACATCAGTGCTGCGCAGCTCTGCAATCGATTGTCATTCCCCAAGCCACCCCCAACAAGTATTTCTTGCCAGAGTACTTTGGCCCCCCGGAAGCTGGGAGGGATGGCGCCTTATGCAGAGACCTCACCCACCCAAAATTTGTGTGGGGACTTAAAGGTCAAATTGGTCTTTGCTCTGTGCTTCCCGTCAGGATCCCTTGCAATGCTTGCCTAAATTCCTCGTGGGAAAGGACCGGCGCAACTAGCGAGCAACCGAAGGTTGCGCGACACCCGCTCCTCGTAGGGATCGCCGTGAGTGGGCCCCGTCACGATCCAGTAGCCAAAGGGGATCTGAGCCGCGTGCACCGCGCATCAGTCTGAATGATCCACGCATAAGTCAGAAGGCGTTTCCCCAAATGGATCGATCCCCAAAAAGGTGCAGGCGGACCCTTTCGAAGGGCTTACTGCAACTGGTATAACTACGAATCAAAACCCTGAACTGGTGCACATCACAATAGGTGGCAAATGGATGTTCATCCACCCCAAAATGGAGCCATGGTTCTGCCCCATGGCCTATGACCCAGCAGTTCAAGAACCAACGACCCGCCCGTCCCGTCCCGTCTCGCCCGAGGCAGGCCGACCCCGCCAGGCGCGCGGCCCGCACGGCGTTGAGGCCCATCTTGCGGATGGCCGCAAAGTCCTGACGCAAGATCGACTGGGCACTCCAGGGCTGTTGGGGGCTGAAAGAAGGGGGGGGACGTTCCTGGGCTGGGCCAAGGGTTGCTGCTGCACAAAATCAAACCACATCCCTGCAGGTGCAAAGGGCGCAACGCACACCTAGAATTTAGAAAGACCTTCCTCTAAAAGCGGCAGCCTTGGAAATCAAGGGCCGAGTCGATCTGCCCAAATGTCAAAAGCACAAAGTCAAATGCGGAAAAGAGCAAACTGATCTCTTGCGCAGCCTGATACCTGCATTTTCTTCCCCCCCCCCCTCCCACAGAAAGCAAAAAAAGACAAGAGCTGAAAACGTGTCTTGGGCCCGCTATGATCAAACAAAACATGGCGGCAGCACCGCCATGTTCTGTTTCAAGAAACTCATTCAGGTTCTTCGCTCCCCGGATGGGTCAATGGCAACTGCGCCTCTCTGCAGAGGAAGGTCTCTCGGTGCCGGTGAAGCACATCTAAGGCCTGCGCAGGTTCCAAGCTTCAAACGTCGCAACCCAAGGCAAGTTTCTCCTTCCTTTCCTATTGCCTTGCGCGCAAAAAATAAAAAAGACAAAAAACAGATCGGCCAAACGCGCGCCCAGCTTTTCATGGGACCAACTTTTGCCTGCTGCTTCCTGAGCAACTCCATGAAGTCCCACTCGCAGCGCCCCGGGTCTCGGTCCGGCAGCCCAAAAGTCAATGGTTCGCCTCTGTGTCACAGCACCGGTCGCTTCGCTGCCACCGCCCCTTGAAGCCAACGCCAAACCATACTCTTGGTTGTGCGCCATGGGACTGGCATACCCTGTCATAAGCAAAAGGCATACCCAAAACAAGCAGACATCGCAGCCGGCCAATCCAGTCGACACCTCGGACCCCGGGCTCAGGGGCGCAGAGGGTCCCGCTTCCAGCAGCAGCCATCCGCCCAGGTTCACTCCGCGCCTGAGTCTGACCGCAGCGATGTCCCAGTTGCGGGCAGAGGTGACCCCCCATTTTTTTGTGGGAAGTCTGTTGCGAGTTGGCGGCTGGGGTTCCTGACCATGACCCAGATCTAGTTGCAGTTTTAGGACGGGCGGAGCGGTGGGGTGCGTCAAGATTCGGTCCATTCTTGCTTGGTGTACTGCCCGCTGCGATCCCTTTATCTTCGCGAGTGCAAGGTCAAGAGCATGCCACCAAACATAAACATCCCAAGCATGTTCCGAGGCTGCAGCCAGGGGCGCGCCCGACCTGCCAATGCCGGGTGGAGTCGCCAAGAAGCAAGGTGATTTCTCTCCTTCTGGCCTTTGTGGCTGCGTGGCAGCTCGGTCCAAGAACACTCCTACCTTCCATGACCCCGCACCCCTGTGAACCCCCCCTGCAAAGAATCCTTTTTTGCCCAGGTCGGCCGGCCGGCGCTCCTTCACGCTGGCTCCTGCCATGAACCATGACACTGGCATCAACAGCGGCGGAAACAGCATGTGCAGGGCAATCGACGGAATCGCCGCGCAACTGGTAAAAAAGTCCTTGCAATGGAAACCAAAAACACAACCTGTGGATTGTGTAAACAGGACGCACTCCCAAAAAATCCCGAACTAACAAGTAGGCCATCGTATCCAACGCATTCGGAGCATCTGACGCTCCAACATTTGGCTAGGCCCCCCTCAAAATGAGTAGGGGGCGGGGTTGGAATTGTCAGGAGGTGGAAGAGTTTCCCATTTTGGTGTCCCTCAAATCCAACCATGGCTTTCCATCGCTTTTCCCATGGTTGTCTCCAAAGGACGGCCCCGGTCCAAACCTGGCAGAGCCATGGCACCCATCACGGGCCAAGGGAGGCGCCTTGACGACCCGCAGCAGCGCTGAGGGGCCCCGGAGCCGGAGCCGCAGGTTCCGCTCGTAGGCGTCCATCCTGGGAAGCGGCTCGGACGGAGATGCCTCTGATTCATCGGACGGGAAACGAATTGGAGAGGGCGCTTGCAACGAATTGCCGCCAGCCGAGATCTCCGCAACAGCCTTTTTTCGGGGTCTCCCTATGCACAGACCCAGCTGCATGTTCAACCGGCCTGTGAGGGAACAGCGCGTCTGCATTCTTCAGCACCTCTCCCGCAGCCACTGAGGCGCGGTCGACGTGACCTCAGACGGCCCCCGTCCAAGCGTCGTACACCGGCAATTGGACGGCGAAAAGGCGATTCCTTTCAAGACAAGGAGACAAGTAGGGAAACCAAAAACCTCCACCTCTACGTCTTTCGACTTGAGAACCGACTGATGCCAAGCTGACAGCCAGCACCCGAGTGGCACCGATTGGTTTTCATCTGTCAAGGGTGCTCTGCAGCAAGGATCCTGCCAGCCCAATGAGCAAGGAAGACGCTAACAGCTGCAACGTCTCTGAGTTGCCGGCTGTTGGTGGCACGGATTTTGGCAAGCCTCAAGTCTGCGCGGGAGCCACAAGTCACCAAGTCTCCTAGACCCACTTCAATGGAGGATGTCAACAAGACACACACCGAAGCCAGAAAGGCGTGATGTCATTGAAACCAGGGTCCATGGCGTTTGTGGACTAAACAGAAAGCGGCTGCGCAGGCCAACAAAGCAACGTGACTATGCGCTACAAAAACTGCGTCTTAATGAAATCAGCGGCATCATGATTTCGGCAGCATCATGATGAAGCCATTGTCAGCTACACATAGGAACGAACAGCGTCCTATAATGAGCTAGCAGCAGCATGCATGCTGAATGTTGCATTATCCAAATGATTCCACACCCACAAAAGCTTATGCGCTACATCTAAGCACGGACAGTGTCTTCATGAATTCAGACTCATCATGATTATTTGACTGCCTCATGATGACGGTAGCAGAGCCACCAAACCAACAATTACGCGTTACCGCACAGGCAGCGTCCTAATGAGACATCATGATGATACTGCATCCGCAAAGTATTCTGCGTGACCAGCACCCACAACAGCAAGGCGACGCTCATTTGGCGATGCAGTCAGGGCGCTGGTCAGGGTGCTGATCAGGGCGCAGTTTCTGGGCTCCAGGTGCGGTTGCAGTTGCTGGCGGTGCTTGTTTCGCGACGCAGGCATGGTGTTGTTGTGGGTGCGCGCCGTGCTTGTTTGGCGACACAGCCCGGTTCTGGAGTTAATTCGGATCAGGGTGCTGTTTGATGTGCTCAAGGTGTGGCGGCGCTACGAAACGGGCGCTGCTACTGGTGTTGGTCCATGGTAGTGCAGTCTGGGTGCAGTCAGGGTGCTGTTGGGTGCAATTGCCACCACACCAAAAGGCTCCATGACCACCCAAAACAGCAAGAACCCTGACAGCATCGCCAAAGGAGCACAACCAACAGTACCTTGACACACCGCAGCACCAAACAGCACCCTGGCCAGCACCCTGACTGCAAGAACCCTGACTGCGAAAACCCTTCTGGCTAAAGGTATCTCGGGGCAAAATCAACCGCCAGCAGACCCCATCTGCTTAAAGCAATCCGTTTAGATACTTACTTAATCAACTGATGTCTTAAATAATAGAATCAGTTAGCTAATTAAATTGCTGAATCAATCAATCAATCAATCAATCAATCAATCAATCAATCAATCAATCAATCAATCCATCCATCCATCCATCCATCCATCCATCCATCCATCCATCCATCCATCCATCCATCCACTCAGCAATCAATCAATAAATCGATTGATTCACTAACTCATCGCCACATAGATACATCTGTATATATATATATATATATGTAAGAGGATAATCATAATAATACAAACAAAAGTGATTATAAAAACAAAACACTACTAAGAATAATAACAGCAATAATAAAATTAGAAGCAATCGTAAAGATCAGAACCGAAAAGACCCCACCCATCCACTCATCCCCGCGTTCCCGACGAGCGGCGACTGCAGAACGCTGCGCCCGGCATTGGCCCAGTGCAGAACCGCCGCCGCCGCCGAAGCATCGAGCTCCTGCGCTGAGATGCACTTTCCTGCGAGAGGAATCCCAAACACAAAATCCAAACATCGAAGCAAAACATATAAAAGAGGGCTTGTCGGTTCCATGTTCAAAAAGGAGAGGAAAAAAACGGCAAGCAACTAGCACTGGGTGAGGATCATGCCACTGAAACTGGTTCAACTGAAAACCGCGGCTCGCCGCTTTGTTTGGATCAATGCGTCCCGGGACGACCCGGCCAAATTGCCCTGTGGATCCGGTCTAGCCTGTCGGCCACTTGGCCGAAACATACATCACCGAAACATTTAGAGGACTTGAGAACCAATATTCTACCCAGTGAACATCCCAATCGAACCACTAAGATAGGTTCTAAAATAGGTGGTGCACCTACCCCAACAAGGTACCATTGATTTTGACCCACAGCCAAGTGTGAGCGCCTCACGACCAAACACTAGAGCGCAAAGCGGTCACCCGCCACTCCACTGGACTGAACCTACCCCGAACATCTGCACACCTTCACCAACCTCTGGACCTCTTGCAAAAAACAACAAAAAAGCAAGCATACAGCAAAAACAAACACCAATACGAGAAATCCGCGCCCAGCCCCTCCGCCCCTCCAGGGCAGGGCAGGGGTGCACATACCCGCTGGCGCCCAGGCGCTGCTGATGGACGCCCAGCAGGGAGCTCAACTGCTGCTGCAAGTAGCCCTGGTCTGCCTCCGCGAGTCACGTGGATTGCCACTAAACCACCGACATGTTTATGTGTTTGCGCGCGCATTTGTTATACATAACCTGTGTGCATCTCACTCTATGTATATAGGGATTATGCGTGTATACAGAGTCATGTATTTGGATGGTATGCTACAAGGAGATCTATCAAAATGACAATGTAGCTGCGTGGCTCAAATAATTGCGA